AGATAGATAGATAGATAGATAGATAGATAGATAGATAGATAGATAGACAGAAGATGATAGAAGATAGATAGATGATAGATAGATAGATGATAGATAGATAGAGATAGATGATAGATAGATAGATAGATAGATAAAAGATAGATGATAGATAGATAGATAGATAGATAGATAGATAGATAGATAGATAGATAGATGATGATAGAAGATAGATAGATAGATAGATAGATAGATAGATAGATAGATAGATAGATAGATAGATAGACAGAAGATGATAGAAGATAGATGATAGATAGATAGATAGATAGATGATAGATAGAAGATGATAGAAGATAGATAGATAGATAGATAGATAGATAGATAGATAGATAGATAGACAGACAGAAATAATAGAAGATAGATGATAGATAGATAGATAGATAGATGATAGTTAGGTAGATTATTTTGCAAACCGTGAGGTTAAACAGTTGCTTCGCCGAATTGCAAGCTGTTGCAATGAATATTCGAAGAAAGCATTGAATTATAACGAGAATCCACCTTTCCTGGAACTTAGCCTGAAATGAAATATTGTGATATTTTAAAGGCCTGTTTCCACATTTGCAGCCGTGACAGGAAATCTTTGAACCCGCCCTGTATGAGCTTGCAAATCTAGAGGAAGATTTCATTCCCAGCGGGCGAGCAACTTCAGCAGAAACCCAAAACTGTAGGCTTAAGAAGATGGAAAAAAAAAATTTTTTTTTAGAGAAGATAGATTGAGCGATTTGGGGGACCATCAAGTCAACAACGATGCTTAGCAGTCGTTCTGACCTAGGCTTTCCAAAATCACGAAGCGGACTCTCCTCGTCCTGACAAAACCCCTTTTATTTAGGCTATAATGTGAATTCCTCTCATTCACTTTCCATCACAGTCCTGGCCAACAGAGATTTTTACCACTGCAGACCTTTATCGGGCTTGGAGAGTTGCCAGGCCGATAGCCTCCAAACGCCACGCTGTAGCAGAAAACACTTGCCAAGGAGTCAGGAACAAATCTTCCCCCCTAATCAAACGAATTAATTGTCTCCTACAAACACCACTCCCCACTTTCGCTCCTCTTTATTCCCTATGAGGAATAATTAATCGCTCTTAACTGTCAGGAAATTTCTCCTTAGTTCTAAGTTGTTTCTTTTCTTGATTAGTTTCCATCCATCGCTTCTAGTCCTGCCTTCACGGGCTTTGGAGAATAGCTTGACTCCCTTTTCTTTGGGGCAGCCCCTGAGATATTGGAAGACTGCTATCATGTCTCTCCTTGGTCCTTCTCTTCATCAAACTAGACATACCCAATTCCAGCCACCGTTCTTCCTATGTTTCAGCCTCCAGTCTCCTAATCTTCTTGGTTGCTCTTCTCTGAACTCTTTCCAGAGTCTCAACATCTGTCTTTATGTGGTGGGGGCCGAAACTGGATGCAGTACTCTAGGTGTGGCCTTACCAAGGCCTTATAAAGTGGTATCAACACCTCCCGTGATCTTGATTCTGTCCCTGTGTTTATGCAGCCTAGAACTGTGTTGGCTTTTTTTTGGCAGCTTACACACCTGGCTGGCCTCGCCTTTAAGTGATTGTCCATTCGGACTTCCAAAATCCCTCTCACAGTTCCCTCTCCCTTCTTAGGTGGTTGCAGACACCAAGGAATTGTTGTCCAACAAAGTCACCAGAGCCCGAGGTGCCGTTTCCAGCTCCGTCAACGGGGCGAAGGAAGCCGTGTCCAGTGGCGTGAGCGGGATGGTGGACGTGGCCAAGGGAGCGGTCCAGGGCAGCGTGGAGATGACCTGCTCCATCGTGGCAGGGGGTGTGAACAGCGTTATGGGCTCCAGAGTGGGCGAGATGATCACCGCTGGTGTGGATACGATGCTGGGCAAGTCCGAAGAATTGGTGGATTATTACCTCCCCATGACGGATCGAGAGCTCGGTGGGTGCTAATTGTCAGGATTCCGGCAGTTACCCCCCCAATAAAATCACACGAGTCTTGAGCCAAAATTCCAAAACTTCAAAAGGATTTATTGGGAATTAAAAGGTCCGGCACTGCCTGGGTGTGGCTGACTCTGAGACACATAATTCATTATCACCCTTGACCCTGGTTTTCCCCAACCCCCTGGGTATATCGTAATTCATATCCTCCAATGGGACACCTCCATAGCCCAGGGTCATCAATCATGGTCTCCAGTTAGAATTTTGCACAGCAGAAACTTCAGTCACCTAGTTACTATCTTTGAAAACATTTACGGAATGCACTTTCGGTTTGCAAGCTGCCGCACTGCTCCCCCCTCCCTTTCTGTTGGCAATTTTAAAAGACCATAGAAATATTTTATGAGGTGACACTTAATTTCTAATTAAGCAGCTTTCCTTAATCCAGATGTTGTCAGGTTGTCCTCAACTTATGTCCACAACTGAGGCCCAAAATTTTGGTTTGTTAAGCGAGAGAAGTGAGGTTTTGCCTCATTTTGCGACCTTTGTTGCCTAATTGATTGGTGGTAAGTCGAGGACTTCATATATTATATATATATATATGAATATTATACATATATAATATATGAAGTCCTC